ACAATTCCAGAAAAAACAATATAATTTACCTGTAGTCTGCTCTGTTGCTATCAAAGGAAAAGAAAAAGAGAAGTTATTTTTTAAAACAAAAGAAGTATCTTATGAAAACCTACTTTCAGTAGTACTACCCTCCATTACAGTGTCCATGTTAAGCAGTTCTCTATTTAATTCTTCTTCATCAACTTGTAAAAAATTTCCAATATCACTATCATCTTGAATTGAAGTTTGACGAGTTAAAGAAGAAGAAGTAGTAGTAGGTTGTTTTGTTGTAGTCTGACATGTTGTTGATGAAATATTATGTAGTATAGAAGTAATTGACTTGAATTTGATGGGTGATGATTTTGTGGTTTGATCCGCAAGTAATATAAATCCTTCATTAAGTGGATGACTTTCAAATTTTGCTTTTATTGATAGATCTTGTAGATCATTTAACCAAGTATTGTCCGATATCGTTTCTATAAAGCTAAATACTATAATATCTGTAATTATTATCGAAAGATTTTTAATATAAATAATTTACTTATAATGGATATGATTAGAAATATTGAATTTAATCCTTGTAATGAGATAAATGTGTCAAAACAATACATATTCATAAGTATATTTTTATTCGAGTAATTAGTTGCAGATAATACGCATGTTATATTCAATGTAATAAAAAGTGCCTTAGCTTGAGTATTTACGTTGAGATTTTCTTACAGAGATATTAACACTTATTTCGTGAATGATGTAAAGAAAAATTCGATAAGCATTGTAAAAGAATAAAAAAAAGGCGATTGTGCAGTACATTATGTTCTGTCAGCTCTTACTCTCATGTTTTATTGTACTGAAATGTATCATCCAGTTTATTATCGTTTATCGATTGAATATAAATCATTCAGAAATATTCGATAGGTACAGGCATTAAAGACAGTTACCTTTTTTTTTAAAAAATTTTTCTTTAATTTTCTCGGTCTGTGATATTTTGCTGGTTTGAAATTAGACAGTTATTAAAGGACAAGAATCTATCTGTTTTAAATTAATTATTTGGAGTTCAATATCTTTTGATACCAGGATTAAGAATCTAACAAAAGAGATAGATATTTCGAGCAATAGTTAAAGAAACAAAACCTTTCATGAGCACATATATTGATCATAGGCATCATTATATCTCATGTCATACTAATAAAAGGTTTTTTTTAGTGCATTGCAATTGATATTGAAGTGTGCTTATATCGTATGTTAAAATACAGTAAAAGATAGATTGTAGTTTGATTTTTACCGATCAAATTTACCTGACAGGTAAAACTCTTTGAATCTTCACCTGATGCAACGATAAATATTCTGTTCTGCAAAGTGATTATTATGCACATGAATAAATTTAATTGAACGAGAAGCATTACATTTATAACATATAAACGATTGTAGCCGTAGGAAAAGAAATCGAATGTATATTTCATCAATATTATGATTTTAAAATACATGTTGCAGTCTTACATAGTTTTATATATTACATAAATTATCTAATTGTGTGTATTGCATAGAAAAGAACGGCATCATCTATAAAATAATATTATCATTGGTCCTTTTCAATTTTACTTCTATTTATGAATCATCGAATTTCTTACTTTCATCTCTTTTCGTAATAAGACATGATGAAATCAATTCGAATTATAATAAATCTTTTAAAATAATTATCACTAACAATTAAGAAAAACTCACTTAGTATTCAATTAATTATAAAATACCATTAAACATATTCATTTTTGGTTGCTTTAATTCAAATATTTGTAGATATATTTTAACAGTAAATATATCAGAAAATTATTTCTTCTAGATTTCATATTTAAATCATGTGTGGCATTTGTTTTTCTCTTCATACACAGGTAAGAATTATATAACTAAATCAGAATGTGATGGTACATATTCAACAGAGAATAAAAAAGTCACTATAATAAAATTCTTTATTTTAGTCAACATCTGTTCCCATAGATTATACACCATTAAATGCACGTGGTCCTGATTTTCAAAATCAATATGGACCTATTTCACTTACATCTGACTTCTATGTTACATTTGCTGTTAGTGTCCTTGCTCTTCGAGGATATAAACAAGAACAACCATTTATTGATGAAGATGGAAATATACTTTTATATAATGGAGAAATCTATGAAGGTCCTTTACAAGTTCGTTTTTTTATTTATTTAAAGTTAATCTGATATGAATTTTTGTTTCTATAGATTAAACCAGATGATAATGATGGTATACTTTTATCTAATCATTTAAAAACTTGTTCAAATGAAATAGATATTTGTAATTTGATATCAAAATTAGAAGGATGCTTTGCTTTTATTTATTTTCAAGTATGAAAAATTCAATTCAATTGAAACGTTTTTTTTTTCATTTCATAAATTATTATTTTCTTTAGTTTAGAAAAAAACCAATAGCTTATATTATGGACGTGATCGATTAGGACGTCGAAGTTTAATGTATTCCATAACAAATGATACACAATCAAATTTGAAAATGATTCTTAGTTCAGTTCGATTAAATCATCTCGTAAAATATCTTATATTTTCAATATTATATATATTTCATTATTTTATTTATAGTCATATACAGAACTTGATTCAAATATTCTTCATAAATTAACAGTACTATCAACTGATAATACATTTAAAATTGAGACTTTTCCATATATACATTCAATGATCGATAGTTTTCCTTCTGAACCACCGGATGTTTTATTAAACGAATTTGAATCGAATTCAATATTTCAAAATATATCAACAACATTTCTTAGTCAATTACAAGCAGCTGTTCAACGACGGATTGTAAATTTACCTTCACTCTGTCGTCAATGTAAACGTTTAACAGATAGTAATCTTCGTCCAATAAATGGATGTCAACATGCTAAATTAGCAATACTTTTCTCGGGTGGAATCGATTCAACTGTACTGACTGTATTAGCTGATCGAATTTTACCAATAAATGAACCTATTGATCTACTTAATGTGGCGTTTTTCTCAGACGTATTCGTACCACCAGCAGATCGACAAACAGGTAGTGATATAAAATACATAAAAAGAATATCTATATGATCTCAAAAATGGCCAAGAATCAGTGGCGGATTTACGGGGGGACGATAGGGGTGATCGTCCCCCCCCCTCTCCGCAGATATCGCCCCTCCGTACTCAAAACAGAAATCACCCCCCCCCCTTCCAAAATCCTAGATCCGCCACTGCCAAGAATCATTCTATTATAGCAAACTGAAATGTATTGAAGATGATAAATGAGTTTTATTTACTACTGACATTGAAAAAGCATTTCCAATTGCTATCCATATTTTTATTTAGGTCTAGAAGCTTTAACTGAACTTAATCCAGCTCGACAATGGAATTTTGTTAAAGTAAATTTTTTTTTCATAAAATCATAATCGAATTTTAATTTCGTAAACATCATAGATCGATGTTAATGTAAAGGAATTACAACATTATCGTGAAAATATTATTAAAAATGTTATCTATCCATGTTCAACAGTATTAGATGATAGTATTGGTAGTGCTCTATGGTTTGCTGCTCGTGGTAATGGAGTACTTCATCCTGATAATATATCATATGAAAGTTCAGCAGAAGTAATAAAAAGAAAATGATTGATGATATGTATATATAGACTATTTATTTTAATAAATAGGTATTATTATCCGGTTTAGGTGCAGATGAACAATTAGCTGGTTATTCGAGACATCGATCAACATTTCAAACAAGTGGATGGAAAGCACTTGAAGATGAACTTGATATGGAAATAAATCGAATTTCAAAACGAAATTTAGGACGTGATGATCGGTAGAAAACTATTTTTATAATAGATTTATTATTTCTTCTTCTTGTTTTTTTTATTTAGTGTAATTAGTAGTTTAGGTAAAGAAGTTCGATTTCCATTTCTTGATGAACAAGTAGTCGATTATCTTCATTCAATACCTATTTGGTACAAAGCTGATCTACGTTTAGGACGAGGTATTGGTGAAAAATATCTACTCCGTTATGTAGCACGTCAATATTTATCACTTCCACAATCATCAACATATCCTAAACGTGCGATACAATTTGGTTCAAGAATTGCAAAACTTGAAAGTAGAAAAGAAAAAGCATCTGATCAATGTGCAAGATTAACAACAGATAATAATAATATTGATAATGAAGACTAGATTCATTTATTATATTTATTATTATAAACAAAAATAAAAAAGAATAAAAAATATTACATACGTTATATATTGAAAAGAACATAATATAGATGAATAATAGATATGTATCTATCTAATGATTTTGCTTCATCTATTAATTGAATTAGTAAGAGAGTAACTGATTTTCTATGTAAAAAGAACTAATTGTAAAATAATTAAATTGATATCAGATAAATTAGCTGATGTATATAATGAAATTATGTGTACTATAAATATATTTGAAGATTTTCTATGAAACTAAAATAATGTTTGCCAAGAATTATATTAATATAATTACACATGTATAATTTAATTGATATATTGTATTACAAAAAAAACTAAGGTCTTTTTCGATTGTCTAAGTTTGCTTTTAAAAATATACATTGAATTTATATTCGTTTGTCGGTCAACTAGACTTTATTATATTTTTTTTTCTGTAAAAAAAGCCAAATAAAGAAATAATAATTGAGAAAAAAAAGCGACCAATAATGTACATATAGATAATAATAATAATAGTAATAATAATAATGGGAACAAACACAACAACAAGAACAACGAAAAAAAAAAAGATCAAATACAGATGTCAGCAAATTTCCTTTTATTCGCTGACAAGAGAGAAAAAAAAGATAACTGTGCACTGGAAATCTTAAGAAAAAAATATATATCGATCTTTCTAAAGAGGTCAAGAATTTTTCTATGTGTATAATACTTTCATTTTGATGTCTATGCATATAACTCAATTGATGCAATGACGATAATAATAGATTTTGAAAGACACATTTATACAAAATCAAAGTTCATTTCTATGATGATGATGTTCGTCTTTTTTTTTCTAGATAAAAAAATAAGCAAGGAAACGGTATTATATTTTTTTTTTCACTATAAACATCTAAATTTTAAGGAAAAAGAAAATGTTTACACACGGACGGAATGAATTCGTTCGCGTGTTTGCATCAATCATATTTTTTAGGTATTTTGAGTAGAATCTCCTTATTGTTTTTCTATGACAGCAAACAAACGAAAAAGTAGAAATGGTGGTGAACGCGTTTTTGAACGCTAGATAGATCGAGAATAGAAAAGAAAACTCAGATTGAAAAGAAGAAAAATTATTCAATGCATGTTCATATATATACATGCAGGAAATATGTTAAATTCAAAAAAGAAAAAAGAAATTCAAAGACAAAATAATTATGAAAGTACATAGATTCAATCGCCGGGATGTTCAGGACATGATCGATTGATACGAAACCAATTGTCGATACAACTAAACAAAGTTAAACATAATTATATATCATTCTATGATTTAAAAACAATTAAATTTTGTTCATTTGGTAATACAGAATAGCTAAACAGTTTAGTACATAGCCTAACAAATGTTTCATTAAATCCTGGGTATGACTCTATTTCTATACTAGAAACAAGTATAGGTGATTTATTACTCAATTGTTGTCTTCGATTTTGCAAAATTCTAATAGGTTCACGACTTGCAATTTGTACTGATCAAGGAAGTACTGTCGATGTCGTGCTCACAGTTTAATTTGAGATCTATGAATGAACTTTTCATGTTCAAGTTAACGTTCCAAAGTTATCAAACTGATCTAGATCATTTTGAAGGTTCAGATGATTTTTCTAGAAGTTTATCGAAAGTTTATTTTTGTACAGGTATACATTGAACACTCTTTATCTAGCATAATAATACATTTGCAGTGATAATATTATACTGAAAATTAATTCAATATATCAATCGATCTAGCAAATCTTAATCGAATTCATGCTCTATATCTAATATCCAATCCGATTACAAGGCTTTGCTATATACAGAAGGTATTGATAGTATGCCTATTAATCATACATACCGTATTGGCATTGTAGCATAACTAGTCATAGGAACAGTCGTATAGGGTATATAATTGACACTACAAATAATTTAATACTAACTTTTCGATGTATCCGATTTGTATGAGAATTAAAGTATTTCGATAACGAAAAAACTAGTATTAGCTATATATATGCTACTTTCTTCTAAGAAAAAAAAATTGATTTCGATTTATAATTTACAATAAGAGATCAGTCTACTTCTAATTGTTTGTTATTCATCCTTTTTTTTTTACTTCAAAAAGAAATCTACTTAAAATTCATATGATTATACAGTTTGAAAATTGGATATGAAATTTATAGTACACTCTAGTGTTTTAAATTAACATAAAGAGAACTAATCAATTAACATAATACTAGTCTATGGTTGTCTATATATATTTTTCAATTTCACATGCGTAAATTTACCTTTTGTGATAAATACAAAGACATGGTAATCGAGCAATTTTTTGTCCTTCAACTAAATCATCAAGACATATGACACATTCACCTTTATTTTCCGTTAGTGTATCTTCTACATGAAATAGAAAATAAAAATAAAAATTTATTTTATAATGAAGAAAATTTTTTCTAAAAATCAAACCATTATAATCTATTCGTGGTTTTGATAGACATTGAAGAATATGTTTATCAAATGAATCGCTTGGAATTGTTTTATTACAAACAGGACATGGAACATCATGAAGTGCAATAAGAATACGTTGTAAACGTCGACGAGCTTGTGGAGATTCATCATCTGAACTTGGATCGTCTGAGTCACGTTCAAGTCCAACATAACGTAATAAATTAAAATTAAATGCTGCTGCTGACATCGGATCAACATTTTGAGATGTTGTACGATGTCGATTATGATTTGATGGATTATTAGCAAATAATCCATGTAAATTATTATGACCACTACTTGAACGATGACGATGATGTTGGGAATGATGAGATGAACCATTTGAATGTGTACGTGGATGAGCTAAATTTGTTGACGAACCATTACCGGTATTTCGATGTGCTGTTGTTGATGATGATGATGCCGATGATGGTGGAGTTGTTAATCTTCCACCCATTTTGTTTCTCCCTAATAGTTCCTTTTTTTGTTTTGTAAATTATCAAATAATGTTAGAAATTAAATATAATAACAAAATATTCTTCATAAAATATTCATATTAATTATCAACATATCTAAATAGGAATTTTATTCAATTATATTATCTGAATTGTGACAATGAATGTCATAGTATAGAAAATACGAATCAAATCAACAAATAAACATCATCATACGTCTATCCATTTATTACCTTAAGTGATTGTGTCGACATCTTATTTTAATTTACATTGGTCTATCGATATATCCAGAGCGAAGCTATTGCTCGTGCAAATTTTTTTATGTAATAATAATAATATTGACATACACGCACTGAACCATAGAAAATGTATAGTAAATAACGACAAATACGTTTTTGATATATATATATATATATTTAAAAAATGCTAACGAATTTTGTTATAAATGAAAAAATGTGTCAAAAAGAACCACGCAAACGTTCTCGTTCGAGTACTCGACGTTTGCGATATGTACGTTGTGTATCATTTTTTATGCTTGGATTTTTTTCATCAACAATAACTTTTCTTATAACATTTTATGCTACTTCGAATGCTCTATCGAATATAATCTCATCTATTTTTTTTTCAAATTCTTATAATTCTGAACTTCAAGTTCCATTATCACCTCGTGATGCAATTAAAAATTATCAACCGAGAGATTTTTTGGGTAAAAGAAAATCTATAAATTATGATTATCATCTGAGATATAATGATTTTAATTATCGTAAACCTGAAACATTAACTTATAAAAGTCGAACATATTCAAATAATACCGAAATATTATTTCGTTTTCCAAAAACAACTGCAATAACAGCATTATTACTTATATTTCATAGTTGTAAACATTCTGCATATGAATGGTTTCATACACCTGAACGACAACGTATTATTGGTGCTGCTCTTGATCTTGGTTATGCTTGTTTAGTATTTCAATCAACTGATAAAATTACAAAATGTTGGTCAAATGATGTTGATCTTTATCAAAATAAAGATATACAAATGGTATTAAAAGGACTTGAAGAATTTTATAAAGAATATCCTCAATTAGGTACAATGAAAATTAGTTTTTAATTATATTGTTGACATTGATTTGTTTTTTATTTTAGTGTCTGTACCACGATATACATTTGGTGTATCAAGTGGCGGTATATTTTCAAGTATCTTGGCTATTAATCAACAATATCGTATACAAGGACAAATTATATTTATTTCAATTATTCTACCTGAAATCTTATATACTTATGTAAAAGCACAAAATTATCCACCAACTGTTTGGATACATGTAAGTGTTATTCTTAATGATTTATAGATCATTACAGTCATTGTTGCCTGTAATCCTATCGAAAAAACAGAATAGAGCATGTGATTGACAATAGATGTATTACTTTATTCACCAGATGATTGAAATAATTGTTTTATTATTTAAATTTATCGTATCGAATTTTGAGATTGATTATCTAATAGCATATTCAAATTCATATTTTCTTCTTCGAAAAACATTAGATATAATTTTATCTCTGTTTAGATGTTACGTGATGTTGAATTTGCATCTGAAACACGTATTAAAGCTTCGAAACAAATATTTATGGAACAAAATATTCCTTGTAATAATTTTCCTATTGAACCATTACAAGTAAAACCAACGATATTTAGTGAACGAGTACCAACAATAGATTCTGAAACATCATATTTTCTATACTATCTACTTCTACGAAATCAATGGTTAAATACTCATACTTATTTACTATACAATCCACGTCGTAAATTTGCTTGGCAAGACTTTTTATTTCCTCAAATCGAACAAAACCATACAAGAGCAAGAATATATAAAAGTATAAATGATCATAAAAATGAAATATCAGAATTTTTAAATACAATTTATGGTGAACATGAAATAAGTTATGAACGTTCATCTGAAGCATTAAATTGGTTCAAAGAATTATTTACTTCATCTGTTAAGAAAACTTAACTCAAAAGGTGATCTCATGTTTATTTTTATTGTGAATTGTTTTTGTGATAAAATTCTCTTTATCTCTGTGTATATGCAATTTATTTGTATGATAAATTTAGTCTGTGGTAAAAAGCTTATTCTCAATTGCAATAGATTTTATTATGTTGTATGTTATGTCATTTTTTTGTAGTAAAACAAAAATAAAAATATAATATGATCATAACTTGATATACTATCAAGAACACGGCATATCTTTGTCTCTGATTTCATATTTTATAACAAGAGATAATTTTTTGAAAGCACAGCTTATGACAATACAAGGATATCAAAAAACAAACAACAGGACGTATTGACATTGGTCTGACAAGAGATAATAAAAGATACAAATTATATGCATAACTGATCAATGATCCTATTTAATGATGTAAGTGACAAAATGTTATATAATACTTTCGCATGATTACATATGTTTTTTTTATAAAAAATTAAATGATTTAAGTATTGAAGAAAAACATATCTTTGATATGGATGATAGCGCGATTTCAATTGGCTTGACTGTTAGATGGAAAGAACGACATATATATTCTAATCATATAGACTTCAGTCTTTATCTTTGTAGAAACCGTAGTGATTGATGAACAATTGGTGTAATCAAAGCTAGCTGTGAGAATAATTTAATTCTTGTTGGAAAAGAATTAACATTTAATAATCTATTTCACGTCATGCATAGACGATTTTTCCGTAAGAATAATATTTATTTTGATGATGACATCTGTCACAGGAATACTTCTTTTTGAATATTATAATAAAGGTTAAAAACTAGTTCATCATGAATACAGGACATTTCAAGTATGGAAATTAAAATCATCCTTTGATTGTATCTAATATTTGATTTATGCTAAAGATATACAAAACAAACATCATTTATTATCCATAGCTAGTTGCATGAATAACTTTGATAAATATTTGAAGTCCCCTTGTAATGTAATCATTAATCATTCCATAAATATATAAGTATTACATGGATGTCTTTTTTTATTTAATTAAAAACAAATTTTGAATTATATACTACAGATCTATAGGTAAAGTTTCAGAGTGTGAGAAGGTTGATTTTTACTTCGGAATTTTTTTCTAGTTGTGATTATGAAATTATTTTATAGAAGATGCTGTAATTTTGAACCGAAATTTCAAGTATGATATAGGAAGATGTCAATATTGATGAGTTAATTAATTTTCATTGAATTTTTTTTTACATCATAATAAGTTCCTTTAGATAGATCTTACAAGGACAAACTACTTAGAAAAATTGGAGGAAATAACTTCTCCTATTGTCTATTTATTTGAATTCATTAATACTCGATCGATCTATATATTTTTTTTGTTATTGAGAAGAAAGTAGAGAATGATTTGTCTTTATGAATAGACTCTTTTTTTGTATTATTACTCATACTAAATGAAAAGAAAGAACGATAATATTAATGTTGAACAAAAACAAAAAAGAAGCGAAATATTGATCTGTAATAATAGATTTCTTGTTATTGCTTTTGCGTTAGATTGTCTATTGAAGTTTAGATTTATTTTCTTACATCTTTCAAGACAAAAGAACATAATAAATTTTCTATTGATCATGTTTTATTTTTATATTTTTTTTTGTTGAAATTTCTCCTGAGATTTATACTTCAACTAAATTCATTAATTTGTTCGTAGTTCTAGAACTAAAGAACAAATAACGATTTACGCATGCATGCACTTTATATTAAGTCGTTTCAATTTTTATTGACAGACGTTCGTTACATCGTGTTAGTTAAGCAGAAAATATCTATCTCTATTTTTTCTGCTTCAAATATCAAAAACCAGTTGAAAAGAAAAATAAGTATACGATATACAACTTCTTTTTTTCTATGTTAGAATTATTTAGATAGAAGTTAAGAATAAGTCAAAGTGAGAAAAAAAACGCCTATCATTTCCGTTTTTTTTTTTGGGCGAAATTTACAAATAGAAATTGATATCTTAGAATAGATTAGATCATTAATAAAATAGATCGATATTCAATAGGACTTAGAAATAAATGATGTTCAATCACGATATAAAATGAGGGCAAGTAAAGTATTTGTTTTCGACATTCTTCTATACATCAATAAGCATTTTGAGTTGATTCTTTCGTATTTAAATAATAAATTTTATTGTTTTCTTTTAGACTATTAAATCCGATATTGAATAAAAAAAAATGCTTGGTGGATTTTTTAAAGTAACCCTATCTCTTCATGTTTTGATCCTGTTCGTTACTCTTCTATGGCAAGTAGCAACTGCAAATACTTCATCGGTAAATATTCGAATGTCAAATTCTATCACCTCATAAAGCTATTGTTATTTTTCTACATACAAATATAAGATTGATCATCCAATAATTATTTTCTTAATTAAACCATAGTATTGTTATTTCATGCAGATATAAAATACTAATGATTTCTATTAATTCTGAGTGAATCATTGCGAGTACCGAAAAAATTCATTTGACCTGAGCAAACATTTTTTTCTTCACTCATATATACCAGGATGAAGTTAAATATTGATGATTAATAACATTTTATCTACTTTATTACGTACTTTTTTTTTACTCTAGAGAATATGGAAAAAATAGGTTGACTATTTTGACAGGCCGATAATAGCAAATGTTAATAATCAACTTTTCTCACGCGTTTGATTATGTTTTAACTAACATAGAAACAAAAAAGGAACGACGTAAAAATAATAAATAGTATTAAGTTTTTCCAATGAGAATTCACATATACCTGTCTTGAATTATACTTTTCTCATGGCAATGTAATAAATTATACTCGGAACTGCTAAAATCCAAATTCTATAAACTAATAATTTGAACTTTTCTTTCTAGAACCTGGAAATTGACAATAGTTTGGCTAAATCAAATGAAGAAATCTCTCATTTATTAGCTAATAATAACGAACAAAAAAGTGTAAATCTGGTGAATCCTTCATTAAATAATCCAGCAGCCAGTCATAAATCTCTTCATAACAAAAAACGTATTCACTCACGATCACGTCGTCGTTATAGAAAAAAATTGCATCCAAATACTGAACTACCAAATTCATCAAATGGTATTCAATCAGAAGGTAGGCATAAAAAAAAATCTCGATTATCCAAACAAATTCGTTCTATAGTAGATAATCGTCTGAAACGTTTTCGAATGTTAAATCCAGAAGAATTTCAAGAAATGCTCAGCTCAATGAGCCAACAACAACCAGATGAACAACGAACAGGATACAATCCTATGAATACACTCGATGGTATACAACTTGAAAGTAAATTTAATTATTATTATGATTAATTCAATATTAACTATCTTTTTTTCTTTAGATTATTGGTCACGTAAATAAAAATTAATAATATGATTTGATATAAACCTTATTTTTCTTTTTTCTTTCCTTCGCTGATGCTTATGGATTCATATATATGTATAGAGGAATGAATGTTTGTTTATTGAATGATTTATCTATGTTTCAGTAAGAGTGTATAGTTTTTTGTTGCCTTCATGAACAGAAAACAAGGAGAAGAAGAGAAAGAAAAATGATACGATCTTGTTTTGTTCTAATATATTCACTGTCATAAATAAAAATGAGTTTCATGCCAATAATATATTTATCATGTTATACTATTGCTTAAACTTCAAATTGTATATTTCTTCTTTCAAGCAGCAGTCCTCATCACAGATGCTCAACAGCTGAAATCTTATATGAATATGCTCGGTTGCTCATAAATATCATTCGTGCAGAAATTATATGTATTTCATGAGAATTTTAATACGTTAGACTCACGTTCTTTGTAGACTTTATAACACAAGCAAAAAAAAATATATTTTCGATCGATTAATATTATATTCTGAAGTACTCTATTACAATCGTGAACAGTATAGGTTTCATACAAGTTACTAGTAAAATAATAAAACATTGATGATAGCTAAATATTACTTCTTAATTTATCTGTGACGTAATCCTTTGTCTCTTTAATGTTAAATATTATGCTTGCTTTTACTTCATGCTCACATTAATATGTATTAACTTGAACATGCATCATGTACCTTTCATAATAGAATATATTATGAGACTTAAATAAAAGAATTAACCATTATGCTTCATCAATTGTGATGCATAGTTCAGTATAACTGTATATCAAATTAAATATTAGAAGTACGATCGAAAATAGAAAAGTTGCAAATCAAGATTTTTCTGTTTACTTTTGAAAAAAGATTTCAAAGTCAGTTATTTCATATTTATTAAAATATTTTTCAATCATATTTTATTACTGAAACAAATTCAGTCTAATGCATGCAAGCTGTTACTAACACTATTAGTTATCAAAGAACTTGTTTTCAGTGAAAGCTAAATTAAAAGATATAACTAAACTTGCAAAATTTTAAGTATAAAAAGAATCCAACGTGTAATACTAAAAAATTCTCTCATTTTAGAATAAATGGCAATCTTAATTTAAGATTTTATCTATAGTAAATGAGATAACTACTTGCAATACAATGAAATATATCATTATGTTGCTGATGAACGCCTCTGTTTTCGATATCTTTTCCTCAAAATCTAATTAACATAAAAACAATTCATCTCGTTTAGGAGTGTTACTTTATTTTTATTTATAATAAAGAATAAAGAAAATATTTTCAGGTAATCGGTAGATAGATAAATAATTGATATAAAAACAGGTAATATTGATCGCAGTTTTTTTCTGTCACCAGCCACATTCTAATATAGAATAATGTTAGCAAATGAATGTGAGGTATAAAAGATTTATGGGAAAAGCTTCTCTCCAGAATGTGAGTTATCTATCAAACTGTGAATGGTTTACATTCATAAGAAAGTCAAAGGAATATTTGAATATCATTGAATTCAGGAGTAAAATAATTGTTATGGAACAAACTGTTCCCAAACGACAAAAGGAGAGAGGTATTTATTTCTTGATTAAATATCGACAGCATAGTTTTTTGATGAACTGATATTTGATTGATGCTAAAACGATTCATAAATCGTGGCAATTCAAAGATAAATATATTTAAATCACCATATGATATGAAAATTTATTTTTTTTATACGTTCTTTAATGCATTACTAATGACTGCAACATTATCAATAGCTGAAAAATCATACAGTAATTTAAAGCTATAATTAGAGATTAGTTGTAGAGACCAGATGTTTTTTGAACCATATGTTTATTACAGATAAGAGAAGAAGTAATACTCAAAGTAATTGATCGTAATAGAAAAAATTTTAATCGTTCAAACTTAAGGTTGCAAAGAAAAGTATGATTAAAGCCAAAGTAGGCAACTCTTAAAAAGATAAGGCAATGATGATTTCTATTGTATATCACATATTGACTACTCTTGCAAAAAGTCGCCAGAATAAATGTAAGTTTTACTTTAACGTTAACTTAATAAGGTTCGTTTTTAATATATGAAAATATCAGCATATTTATTGTTACGTCAAATGGTATTTTTAGTTTCTTCAATTTAATAATCGTTCACATAAGACTGTTGATATTAAAATAAAACTATCATTTCGCAAATGATGCTGTCTTTGCAGAGTACACAATTTTAAATGAAATAGAACATATGATGAAGATCATATAGATCAAGCTTGATGAATACAAACGTTTTGAAGGAATAGCTTTTCTTTTTCATTACATAAAATATATATATAAAAACCAAGAATACAGAAAACTATCTTGAAAATGACTCTTCAAATGCGTCGAAACGCCGAATAAAAATTTTTTTTTAATTTATTTTTAAATTAAATTAACAGTCTGGCATATAATTCCATAGCACTCAACATATATGCAAGGTCGTGAAGGTATCAAATCTAGTATAAAAATTTGACATAAGATTTCGGAGGTGATCCATTATCGCTATTGGATCGTTCATGTCGTTGATGTAATGGTTATAATAAACTTTATATAAGTTTCGAAAACCATTCCCACGTACTCGATACCCGTAACTAAATATATGGGCATCACCACTGTTTAGCCAAAATTCACTCAGTTGTATGTATTGATCGCCTAGAAGCTTATAAGCCATAGCAATTCCAAGACCAACCGGAAGATCATGAAATTCATCTCTTTTAAAGTTTCGATGAGGATCTACAGCTTTACGTCGGGCAATTTCTATGAAAAACAGAAGACGAATCGCAGGACTATCAATATTTTCATTAGGCAATGCGTCGAAACGAAGTGGAGGTCGCCCATATTCCATAAAAAGGCAATTTCCAGGCTGTTTAGCGTGATCGCTTCCATCGTACCTGAGTTCTAATATGAATCTTCGTCCACGGTAGACAATAGTTTCAGCACAGACATCACAAATATTCGATGGTGCGTCTTTATAGTAAGTGGTGTAATGAGACCCATCTCGTTTTGGTTTGTTCCTCTGTTCTAATTTGACAGTCTGCACATCCATTAGATGTCGAACAATTTGTTCATAGGATAAGGATGTTAAATCAACTGCAGCTGGTCTCTGGGTGGGAGTTGTGCTTTCATCAATTAAACTACCCACAACCAGATTCGTTATTGGTTTAGTAATAAGATGAGCAGCATCGGTCTTGTTCCAAAAGGAATTTTCAATATTTCTCAGCTGATCGTCTGTTAACAAGGTCATTCCTTACTGAAATGACAACTATGTTGCAAAGTCTAGAGAAAAATCATGCACTAAAGGAAGAGCAAAAATTACAATAGATCAGAAATGAGTTCCCCAAAGTTATACTGCCTCAAAATGTTTTATAGCGTCCTCTATGACGATTTTAGCGAACGAAAAAAGTCATGCGTTGTGTTGTCACGATCGGTCCTTAATATATGGCTGTCAACGTAATAGAAGTTTGAAAACAAACGATGGAAGGAAAAATACACGACTCTACAATTAAAAAAAGAAAAACGTTTTTTTTCTATCGACTTTTCATTTATATATATGAGATACATAAACGTGAGAGTTATAAAAACAAAAAAAAACAAAATTTTTCTTTTCTGTTAGTTTTTCGTTTATATAAATAGCATAAATAAAGAGTGCACTGGATATTTAAGAAACGGAAAAAAGAAAAATTTTTCTTTTATCTTCTGATTTGATCAATATTTTCAATATTGCAGATGGCATGGGCCTTATCGATGTTTACTGTCATTTAAATCGCAATCAATGAAAGTATCTGGTTCAGGATTGGATAATATCGGTTCATTTACTATTGATGGTACTTACTCAAATGAAACACCTCTGAATTGGTCAGGGGCGTAGCCAGGAATTTGCAAAGGGGAGTGCACAGCTGTAAGAAAATAACTTTTTGTGCCAGGTGGGAAAGTTTTTCCCGTACTCCCCTACAGGTACTTTTTTCCCAAGGGGTGTGCACGTGCACCCTTGGCACACCTCCTGGCTACGCCCCTGGAATTGGTCTAACAAAACAATATCAAATAGGTACTGGTGATCCATCTCAAAACTTAGGTCATCAAGTTATAATTTAATTAACATGGAATGAAAAAAATAATCAGTTTGAAGGAAAATGGTATGTGCAAACAAATAAATATTATGGTGAAGATAAATTTCAGCTCAAATTCGATGAACAACAGCAACTTCGTCCATAGGAGAAAGTGTAATTATAATAAATAGATTATTTTTATGTAAATAATGATAAATACATGTTAATAAAAAATAAACATTGAAAAGTCTTGCTCATATATTTCTATAACATATTCTCTCATAGATATATACACTACTCATTGTAGATGCTATTCAGTCATTATCAGATGATTCTGTCGATAAGATTTAATACTGTCTAGTACTGTTTTCTATATCAATGCATATTTATTCGAACGAAACTGTGTAAGTATCAATGAAACTTCATTAAATCAAATATGTGAAGTAATGAGAGTAATAAAAAATATTATACTGTATTCATTTCTATTCATATCATTTTATTTCATATTTTTTTACATATTACATCAAAGTTTTTAGTTAAATACGAAACTTTTTTTTCTATGATGATGAAGACTTATTACATTTATTTGATAATCAAGATATAAAAAGATATTACTTGATCAATCGTATTTATTATGACAAAAAAATAGTTTGAAGTTTAGTAAGGTATCGAACAGGGAAAGACAAAATTATGATAAGAGAAAAATGTCATATGATTTAGTAAATTTTTATTGATTTATAATGGTTCTCATTGACGTCTCTTGATTGTTAACAGTTTCTAACAATTTTCGATAACTCTCAATCATACCAAGCTGTTTTATCATATGTTTAACCTCTTACAATAATCTTCATGCTGATACTCAGTTTGTTTCATCTTAATTTTTTATGTTAATTGATAATAAACAATTATATTCTCCATTATTGTAAAAAATAATATTTTTGTATTATCAAGTCAATATAATAGTTTTTATTTCATTAAATTCGTAAACTAATTCAACGATAATTGCATGAAGTTTTTTTATTAAAACGAAAACAGTTTTGCATATCTGTCAAATTCTTATTACTATAGCTTCGTATGACGTCAACACACACACCTTAGAATGAATTATTTGAATTAGATAAAGTTGTTATTCTATGATTAACACATGTATCTATGTTGACATTCTCTAACGTCATCTCATTCTATGTCATTTTCGATGATAAAAGCAAACGTCTTTTAGCTATCAGGTAAATGATAGAACAAATAAAGTGTAAATAATGAGTCAAGTAAAAATACTAGTGATAAACATTCTCTATTTATTCATGAACCAATTCTTTGATCGTCTTCAAAAAACATCAAGTATAACATCGTATTTCAAATCACATTTGCTAAGATCATAATGCATATTACCTATCGTGGATTGTTTCTTGTTATCTGTTTCGGAATTGCAATCGAATGCCAAGGTGGTGGCGGTGGAGGAGGTAAGATATTCTACCTTTTAAAATCATTTATTTTTCATCTTTCATATCACTAACAAAGTAGAATATTTAATCTTATTTTTTATATTTTAGGTAGTTTTTCTGGAGGAGGTACGTTTTTCTATGGAGGCAGTGGTAGTTCATGTACCGGTGATAATTGTGCCTCTAGTACAGTAATTGCGTTAAGTATTGTTAGTGGTATTATTGGTTTAGGATTGTTGATCTTTGGTGTTAATTATTGCGTTAACTATTGGAAAGGTAGACCATCTCAAACAAATATAGTATTTATTAAGAATCAAACTACTGAAAATTGTAACCCAGAAAAATCTGATATGAGTATGTTTAAATCTGGTCATTGGAAAAGTCAATATTTTCAATATGGAAAATGGCATGGACCTTGTCGATTTTCTCTTACATTCGACACTAATTCAATGACTGTCAAAGGAATAGGATCAGACAATATAGGAAAATTTACGATCAATGGAATATATTCGCCCGAAACAAGTCGGTTAGGTTTATCGAAAAAGTATCAATTAGGTACTGGTAATAAAACAGAAAACTTAGGACATACAGTTACAATTCAGTTAACCTGGAATGAACAAAATAATCAATTTGAAGGAAAATGGTATGTGCAGACAAATAAATATCATGGTGACGATAAATTTCAGCTTAAATTTGATGGTCAACACTTATCAACTGTATACGGAAAAGTCTAAAATATGATTGTGTTTTAATTTCATATTTTTCTATGAAAATTCTAGTGACTAAGTTACATAGAGCTAAGTTTGTGCTCATAATGGAGGAAATAATACAATTTTTTTTTAAATTAATCGCATGATTTTGATTCAATATCAAATTATGTTTTTTTTGTATGTTAAAATCTCTTTGAAATAAAATAATATTTGAATAAACAAATGAGTCATATTCTGAATGAATATTACTTCCTCTCTGCATACCTTCATCTTTTATCAAATATTCCTTTTTATCTCTAATTGAAGATAAGTTTTAGTTGCGAAATTATTTCGTATATATACATTCTTTCTTTGCACATAACAACTACAATCAACTAAGATTTCTAATTACGACTATGTCTGATAATTTACAACTCAATTACAAAGAACATTGGCAAAAAATGCAAATTATTCTTGAAAAAGTTGACAGTATTTCTAACATTAATTAATTTTGAATTTTTTTCTTTATTTTTTTAGAATTTAAATAGTAATAATAAATCATTGGGATTTACTATTACTGGCGGTATTGATAAACCAGTTCACAAGCATTTCACATCTATTGTTATTTCACATATTTATGAAAATGCCGTGGCAGATAGAATTGAACAATTAAAGTAAGAAACTTGTATTCTATCAAACGTGTTTTGTTATCACTATTTTATCGCTTCAGGTTATATGATATAATATTACGTGTAAATGATATTGATATTACAAATATGAAACAGGAAACAGTTGTTGATATACTAAAACGATCTAGAGAGCAAATTAACTTGGTAAACAGAATGAGATGATGTATAAGATTTTTCATTACAAATGCTTTTTTCGGTTATTCTGTTTTAGTTCATACGTCGTCTCTCACCACCGATTATTCAAACAATCGAACTACAACATAATGGACGATTAGGTATTCGTATTACTGGTGGAATCGGAAACGAATCTATTCCAGAGTAAATATTATAAATATCTATATTTTCATTTTGTTAAAATCTTTTATTTTTTATCTTGTTTAAGTGATCATGGAATATTTATTACGCGTATCAATACATTACACAAAAATAAACAGTTACAAATAGGTGATCGATTATTGCAAATTTCAGCTATGGTAAAATAATAACATTCGACTTATGTATATATATATATTACTTGCCTTTCTAATACCTCTTTTCATTAGTGTAATACTTACGATTTACGATTTGTTACATTTGAAATGGCGAAAAAATATATAGAATCAGCATGCGCATTGTGCCAAAAGATTAAACTATGCATTGGCCGTTCAAGATCTCCTGTTCAATTGTAAATTCAAACATATATATTTCACTTTGAAAATATTACAAAACTCAAAATATCTGTTTTTTTATCTCTTATAGAGAGAACGAAGTACTTGTTTCAAATGAACATATTTCCAAAAACTCAGAAATGTTATCTACAGCAGAAATAGAACAATCAAGTATTATCAAGTAAGTGTAAAGTAGAGAAAAAGAAATTTAGTAGATGAATATTCTCTGATTAACATTAATACTTCGTCATCTATCTTATGATTTGTTTTTAGTGATCGAATAGTACATATAAGAATAAGCATAGAATCTGATCCGTACAACGCAATGATACGTAAGCTATTTAGAAGATATTTTCTATCTCTTTTGAACAAGACTAACTTTAAAAACATAAAATTTTTAACATATTTATTTTCAAGATGAGACTCTGGTATAAGAGGCGATATGTGAACAAAATAAAGTAATTCCAACAACATATCAAAACAGAAAGTAAGCAACACATGTTCGATATAGAGAATAAAAGTATACTGGAAATCTTCCAGTAATAAAATAATGTAAATAATTGTACATTTGTTGGTTATACCTAATGGTCAATTAATTAATATTCCAGATTTTATTATTTATTTTTTTTTGTAAATTTCTTTCAAAATAATCATGATTAATAAAAAGTTTATAACTTAAAAACAGCTTTTGCTATAAAAAAACATGTATTTCAAAAATGAGAATGTATCAATAGACAACGGCATGTACGAGTGTTCTTAGATAAACGGACTTATCTAATTTGCATATATCATTCTAGTAAAAGCCCATATATTTCTATAACATATTCTCACATAAGTCCATACATTACTCATTGTGGATTCGATTCAGTCATTATCAGATAATTGTATCGATAAGATTTAGTACTGTCCTCTATGTCAATGCATGTTTATTGGAAACAAACTGTGTAAGTATCAATGAAACTTCGTTGAACCAAGTATATGAATTAATCTGAGTAATAGAAAATATTATACTGCACTAAATTTTATTCATATCATTTTATTTAATACTTTTTTGATATTATATCAAAATTTTTAGTTAAATAAGCAACTTTTTTTCTATGATGATGAAGACTTATTACATTTCTTTGATAATCAAAATATAAAAAGATATTACTCGATGAATCATATTTATAATGACAAAAAAATAGTTTGAATAGTTTAGTAAGGTATCGAACAGGGAAAGACAAAACTATCATAAGAGAAAAATGTCATATGATTTAGTGAATTTTTATTGATTTCTAATGGTTCTCATTGACTTCTCTTGACTTTCGATAACTCTCAATCATATCAAGCTATTTTACCATATGTTTAACCTCTTGCAATAGTTTCCGCATTGATAATCAGTTTATTTCATCTGAATTTTTTGTGTTAATTAATAATAAACAATTATATTCTCCTTTATTGTGAAAAATAATATGAGATAATATTTGACGAGCTACGCGGAAAAGATAAAATTTGGGATATTTAATGGAAAAAAATTATCTGTTCTTTATTTTATAAATATAAAGATAAAGTAACACCCCTAATCTCGTTTCATATCTGGATACTCACACTCTTTTGTTCAACATATTAATTTTTATTCGTCATCAAACTTATTTAACTATTTATTTATATCATTTTATTATTCTCGTTTAAAAACTACATTTTTAGCAAAACACAAAAACAAGAAAAAAAAATGAATGAAATAAAGAGATAGATTACAACACACATATTAAGCATTCACGCTTTTATAGAT